CGCCGCTCCCGCCCCCGCCGCGCCGGGCGGCCCTTTAAACAGCCCCGCCCCGTCCGGCCGTTCTGACCAATCACGGCGCGCGGCCTCCGCCGTCGGGCCAATGGCAGAGCTCCTTCTCTCTCGAACGGGCCAATCGTCAGGGGTGCCTCTGCACGAATTCGAAAGAAAGCCCGCCCTCCCGGCCGTGCCGCTGCGGTGGGCTCTCACGTGGGGCCGGAGCTGGGGCGCATTCCGGTTCCGGGGGAGGGGATGTGAGGGCGGTGCGGGGTCGCCATGGCGAGCAACGCCGCCAGCCTGAACGCGGTCCGGGAGACCATGGACGGTACGTGACAGAAGGTGGGGAGGGGGACGCGCGCGAGGCTGTGGCCAAGAAACAACGCTAAGAAGCAGCTCCAGAGCTTCGATTCCGCCTAGTCAGGATGGAGGAGAAAGCGAACGCCTCGGGCGCCTCTCCTGGGAAGAGGGGTGCGGGTTGCGGTTGCTGGAAGATGCAGCGCGTAGCAGTGTCTTTTTTGCTTCGTGTTATTCATAGTGTGTGAAACGCTTTAAACACCCGCGTAGTGCGAGTGAATTTAGACGCCGAGTGGCTTCTCTTGGGGATCTTTAGATAGCTAAGTACTTAATAGAGAATACTATTGGGTTTTAGTGTTTATGAATGTACGTATATGTTTACTCTGCTTTCTCGTAATTTGTACCGGATAACGCAGATTATGCTACCTGGCTCTGTGCGTCTTGGATTTAAGCCGGGGGAAACGAAGGGTGTGGAAAGGAAAGGCAGGACCAACCCTGCCAGTACCTGAACTGATCTGAACCCTCGTTCTCCTAGATGGCTCAAGTCAGAAAACATAAGTAAACTAAATAAAAAAAAACCAAACAAACAAAACCAAACAACGTAGTGAAAAAGCTTTGAGAACAGTAGTCAGTGTTACAGAATTAGAATAGTTTCTGACGAAAAAAAAACCCCCAAACCAAAACTGTTATGGGATGAGGAACGTGGGAGTAGTGGCACTGGGAGTGCTGGGAAATATTTTGGAGATTTATAAGTCAAGAAACGTGAGCAGGTGAGTAAAGGTCAGGTGTTCACTTACTCTTCTGGCCTCGTTATGAGGAATCAAAGCTGGTATATCCTGGAGTTGTTTCTTAGTGTAGAGTGAAACTCTGGAATTCTATGAAATGCCTATGCCAAGGCCTTATATGCAGAGTGGAAAGCTGCCAAGAAATCCCCTGAGGGTTCTTAAATGTAAAGACTTTCTCTGGAAATGCCCTAGAGGGCATAGAGGCTAAGGAGAACATCTGGGGGGGGGGTTGCTTTACATTTGTTATTTTCTCAGGATCTTCCCTTCTCTTGAAGTTACATAAGGGTTTCTTAGCAAAGGCTTTCACCAGTCGAGCTGGTGTAAAAATTAGCATTTCAGCCACTGATCTTCACTCTCTGACCTGCTGCTGGAGGCAAGGCAGGACTAGCAGAATTATGGCTCCTCTGATGCTGCAAGAGGTTGAGACTAACTTGTGCAGATGAAGAGAGATTCCTTTGGGAAGGACAGAGAGTTTAAGTTCTTGACAACCATTCTCTCCATTTATGCAGGAATGTTTTGGGCAGGAGGGATGACATGTGGATTTAAAGACAAAGAAAGGCTTTTGAGAACAGATATGGAAAGTGCACTGATCTTCAGATTTAGGAGCCCAGGCTCCCCATGTAAAAATGTATATCTTTTATCTAGGATAGACATAGATGTTTAGCCGTTGTTCTCTGCAGAGCTAAGAGCTCGGAATTGTGGAGAAACTGCTACATCTCTCTGCCAAAGACACTGCCCCAACTAGTGACCACAGTTCTTGCTGACATAGAAATTGGAACTTATCTTCAGTTATATTTACTGCTCTGCCTTCAAATATGTCACATGCTTAGTAAAATTTTTGATAGATTTTAAATGGTTAAAAAAAGGAAGAATTGTTTCTTTCTGGGAAGTTTTCAGTCCTTCTTAGTTCTGTAGCTCTTGAACATTCAATGTCATTTTATTGCAACTGCATCAGTTTGTTAGTTGCAGATGCTTTTGTATGGACAGGACATGCATGTATAATGTGTTTGGAATGGTTTGCTTTCAAACCAGCATGAAAAAGAATGTCTTGAGGTGGAGAAGGATAAAAGCTCTCCTCCTCCTGGCTTGTAGATAGGACTTTAGACTGACAGACTGCTTTCATGTCTTAAACTTGTTCATATTCTTAATCCAACCTACTTGTGTGGGCTTCAAGAATATTTTCACATGTAGAGATTTTTTTCCCTGTGGCTTCAATGGAACTGACTGGATACATTAGGTTGTTAATGTCTTGGGTAAGTGTGACTCTGAGGGTGTGCTGCAGGATGTCACTGTAATATTTTCATAGTTGTCAAGTGGACAGTAGTCACTTGCCATGATGCTTTTACGTGGTGAGAAAGACCTTGTACTTCACTTTTCCCTAGCTTGGGGGAGGTTTGGTTACATAAACTGTGTGAGTAACACCTGTACAAAATTAATCTATATTGGAGCTTAGCTTCAGGATGGAGGTTACTGTAGAAACCAGAAATAAAATCTCAGTGAGTTGTTCTGTTGCATCTGGGACAAACTGTTTATGAGAATCAAAGAAAAGGGGCCTTCCAGAGAAACTTAGGAAGGAGCAAGAGAGATACCTATTTTTTAACAAAACTAACTGGAATCTCCTTCTCTGGAAGGTCTCATACTGACATGTGGCGCTGCTTGTGATTCAGGACACATAAAAATTGAATAATATTGCTTATCATTAAACTTGTGTTAATATTAGACCTAAAGCCAGGTTTAGTTGTGGAAGAAGGTGGCTAGAAAACTGCTGATGTTCTCTATAAAAGCTTTTACAATGTGCTTCCCAGGCCATTTCAGCGGGGCATCATCAGTGTCTGGAGTTCTAAAGTACAGTATTTTTACAGCCTACCTTTTACATAATTGGGGAGCATGTTAATTGTTGAATTCTTCACTTATTTTTTTTTTACCTTTTCAAAACCCGTTATCTAGTAATAAGTTTCCTGAACCTGAAAAGCATGGTGTTTATGTTGGAAACTGTAGCTTTTAGCTTGTGCTGTAAAGCTGAACATGAATGCTGTTGTTGAAGTTCAGACTGCAATGGACAGCTGCCATGTTCACACTCTACTGTAGAAGTTAAATGTTGATGAATAAGGATTTTGATAATTGAAATTTCATAGTCTGTAGGAACCAAAGTGCTTTCATTTTTTCTGTTGCAGTTCTGTTTGAGATTTCAAGAATATTAAACACTGGCTTGGATATGGAGACATTGTCTATTTGTGTGCGGCTTTGTGAACAAGGGATAAATCCAGAAGCATTGTCATCTGTTATTAAAGAACTACGCAAGGCTACAGAAGCTCTAAAGGTAATGCTTTTGTTTAAAAAGCCTATAAATTTGTTTTTAAGAGTTGGATGTATGTGCAACTTGCTATACTTCAATTTGTAAATTGTACTTTAAGATATGATTCATGTTTAAATCAAGGAAATTAACTGTTCCATGGAAAAGGCAATGAATACAACTGAATTAAACATGATGCTAGAAATGGTGCAAATAAAATAGTTAGATTAACTCTTTTGAAGGGGAAGATATAAAAAACGAAAACCACAACCAAAACCCACAGATTTTTATTCTGGGCATTTGTAGTCACTATTTGCCCCCTTATCTGCATCATATCACAAATAGATTGCTACTTTCTCCTTTAACCAATATGACCTCATTTCTATAACCTCAGACTTAACAGTATGCAGCAGTACTTGTAAATGGGTACATGCAGCTTGGTAGTGTAATCTTCACATATTTCTTTCACCACATTAACCTGTGCTTTGAACCTTTCCAAAGACCAGCAAGAGGGGATTTCATGATGTGTGTTTATATAGGGCTTTTCATATATCAGCATTTACCTCCTGTTTAACTAGTAGAGGGTAACAACGGTTTAAAAACAAATCCTCACTTGACTTTTAAAGGATTTTGATTCTTTATGGTCCACCTAAACATCACAATCACGATTGTTTTCTAGTGGATCTTCTACTTGTTTATTTCTGGGAAGTGGAGGGGAAACCTGTGTCTTGCTTCTATTCTAGAAGACTGCATACTTTATTTTTAACTTAACGTTTTTCTATACTCATGCTCATGCATATTTTATATTTGTACTTAAAGGCATGCATACATATGAATTTAACTATGCATATTTCAGTAATTGAGGGCTGGTTTACTTTTTCATTTGCTTTTACTGATGTATCATTCCTTTTACTATCTTTTGACTGTTTGTCCCATAACTGGCTAAAATCTTCCAATGTCAGTCTTCAACAATGTGCCTTTTTGGTTGGGTTGAGTTATTCAGTAATAAAAAATACTAATATTCTTAATGAAATAATTGGCAGTGTGATTTATACGGTTATAGTTAGTGTAATTCTCCTAAGTTTTGTGTCAATAGCTTATCTGTATGAGTGGGAATAATAATTACCACAAATTATATCAAGTAGTAAACTCCAGAGGTAAACATATGCATTTGAGCACTCCTTGAAAGCATTAGGGTAAAATGTACAGGATACAAGTTGCTCAGATACAGGACATAAAATTTAATACAAGCAAACAGGAATGGCTATTTTAGAAAAGGATAATGGCAGTCGACAGCATTATTTTTTTTTAAAAAGAGTGTTCATTAGAGAAATGTTCATAAGTAGTTCTTAATTTTTAGGTTTGGGTTTTTGGGGTTTTTTTTAGGTCTAGGAAAATTAAAACAGTTACAAGAAAAGATTAAATTTAATCTATATGATGTCTCTTTTGGTGACTTGCAATAAATGTTTTTTCTTCTTCTAGGCTGCTGAAAATATGACAGGCTAATATGGGCAAAGATTTCTGCATGAGAAGAATGCCAAGATAAACTTAACAGGAGCTCTGAAGATTGCCATTATTCAGACAAAAATGAATTAAGTGTGTATGCAAAGGTTTCAGAATATTTCTGTAATATTATTCAAAAGAATGGTGCATATAATAGCTTTGAAAAATTTTTTAATAAGTTCACCAGTAATATCATTACATGGTATTTTTGTGAACTGTTTGTGAATATAGTGCAATTGCTCTTCTTTGGCATCCAATACTTTTAAAATCATGCCAGATACTGTACATCTGTTGAATTTACTAGCACATATCAATGCATATTGTTATAATGAATGCAGCTTTGTTAATGCATCCTTTGGAAGTGCTAGTATATCCTGGGTTTTATCTCTTGCTTTGATGAAAAACTACGTGTACAATTTTAGCCTTGCTTTATGGACCATAGAGGAATGAAGCCTAGACTGACTTTATTTTAATTAGAGCAAGGCCAGTGATTTAAGTATCAATTTGAAAATAAGAAGTAAAGCATTTTTGATAATATAGGTAATGAATTGTCCTTTTGATTTTGATTCAAATTGCTGGGAAAACTGTTTCACTTAGGTAACAAAGGTACTTCAGTTATCCATGCAGAAATGTATGTAAATTTAAATTCTAGATGATGTGGGATGTTTTATGGAGATTAAATGCTACATTTGTTACATTTGTTCCAACTACTGGATCTAAAAATATTAAGTCTGTCTGTTATTTCTTAGTCAAAGCATGAATGAGAAGCATCAGATTTGGTTCATGGGTATCAATGAGACTTAAACAGTCAGTTGGTGTAGAAATGTCTTCTCATTTAGAACTAGGAGTCTTCACTAGTGCCAGAAGAAGTCTTAATTTCCAGTAAATATCCTTTCATCCAGAAATTCTACTTTGTAAGAAAGTAGTTTGTTGTGTATTCTTGAGCTTTTTTGATTTTGGTTGTCCTAGTTTCAAGGTGTGGTGCTAATGGGACCTAAAGGAACTCCAGGGTTAATAGAGTGAAGCACATTTGGAAATGAACCTGGAATCTTTGTTAAGCCAAAAGTTATATTTGTGCAGAGATAAAAAGTTCTTTCTACTCTGAGAGTTTACAGCATATGCACTCTAGGTCATAGCTCTACAAAAAGCAATAAAGGAGGCTAAATACTTCAAATTGCTGGTAGGGAGAATAGAAAAATATTTATATTACAGTGAATCACTTTCCTTTATTTCCAGTTAGAGTGTCCCAAAAATCATTGCAAGAGAATGCTATAAAAACTTCTGGATAACCAAGCTGGGGAACTTATAAATAGTGTCATTTTTCACACTCACAGCACCAATTTACAAAGGGTTTTAAGTGTTCATGACTTGAATATTGGGTGTAATTTTTTTTTTAAACAGTAAGATATCCTTAGTATAAAAATATATCAACAATGAAGTTCCTCTTAGGAAATCTGAAAAGTCAGTAAAACATCATGAAAACACCAGGTCAGATCAGCACAAATTAGCAATTAGCTCTTTACTTAATTTTCTCTAAACTCAGGGCTACATGTCAAAAAAGAGAAAAGACGTGGAGCATTCTTGTTGTTCTCAGGAGGCACATCTAAATCTGTGAGATTACCCTGTGTAACTTAAACTCTGAAAGTTTTAAATAAACTATAGCAAATGTGCCTAAAATAATAATGACATTTTATTAGGATGTATATTTCTTCTGGTGCATTTCCTTTTCCTCCATTGCCAGATCTTTGAGTAATTCAGGAAGTTGTGATGACTTCCACTCTATTGACTACTTTGCATTTATGTATTTCCAGGGGGTTTTCTAGCTTGTAAGCTTGATTTTGGTTTGGGTTCTATGTCCTTGAAATGCTTAAAAAGAGCTTGCAATTACAATATGAGAAGATATATAGTTATACAAATTATATATATAAATATATATATATATATATATATATATAATTCTTGATCTGTCCAATAAATTGCATCTACCATTTTACCATCAGTAGGCTTACAGTTTTTATGCATTTAGACACTTTCTGGTGGACCATTTGTCATGCAGAATTATAGAAGCAGGGCATGTCTTTGACATTTGAAACATCAATTTGATGTCTATAAAACTAAAAATGCATTATTGCTATTATTACATGGAACTAAATGGTAATATTGGTTACTTAATTAATATACTTAAGGGAGAACATGTTGTTTCTCAAAACTGGTGTAAGAGAACTCCTGCTGACTTTTGGTTTGGGGTACCATCCAGAACAAATACAGTATGTGTTTATCTCTTCTTCCTGGTAAGAAATAAAGAAAATCCCTCTAGTAGGAAGTTTCATATTGGAAATATTTACTGCTGTAAGGTAAGTCTGTCATTTAATAGTATCCCCATTATGTGAACATGAATGCTCAGACTTAGCACTGATGACTGAGAAGTCTTTTCTGTATTTCTAACATGCACCACTTTCTACTACGTTTAACTAAGAAGACAAGAAAACAGACGTGCTTTTTCTCTGTGCTCCTTACTTATATGTTCCTGAAACTCTTGAAGATAAACATAGGAATAGCTATACAGGTCCTGACCAAAGTTGTTTTTTTCTAACACAATAGCTTCTTTTGTAGTCAAAAGCAGCTGACTGAGAAAGGGTAAAAACAATAGAAGCACATTTGGTCATTTTTCTTCTGTGTTCTAGCTTCTAAGTGTCTTCCAGGCTTTCCTGAACATCATATGGTTTGTCTATCTAGTAACTCTCAGTGCTCAATTTTCCAGTACTTGTCCAGTTTCCTTTGGACTATATATGCTTCCTGAATAACAGCAGCCTTTATCAATTTATGTTTGTTGCCTAAGGAATTACCACTTCTTGTTTATTTTGAACTAGCTTAATTTAATATGCCCGGCATAGTAAACATGTATCTACCATGCCTGTGCCAGTCAATGTTCTCCAGATATGTTACAGTCACTTTTAAATTTCCCCTTCTGAACTGAAATGCACTAGCTAAAATACTTCTTGGGTGACCAAATGCATAGAATAGCTTCTGTATTTACTGTCCTTTGAAACTTTTCTGGGTCTCATATTATTTTCTGAGAAGGGAACCAAAACTGCATGCAACATTAGCCATGCAGTTGAGTACTGGCCTGTTTGTTTACTTTCTTGTTCTTTATTCCTTTCCTAGTAATTCCTGATATTTGACTTACTTTTTTAATATGAACCAAATGTTATGCTCTTTCCATGGCATTATCTATTGTTAACACTCTTGTGTGGAATGTTAAACTCAGAGGCTATTTTTTCATATGTGAAACTACAGTGGTTTATCTCCATGTGTATAATTTTTTGTCTATGCTGAAATGCATGGGCCATTTTCTTTCCTAATCAGTCTTACATGTGTTTCTACAGTTCATCACAGTTTGCTAGTAGTCTTGCTACCCTCACTAACTTTATAATTGGGAAATTTTGTTGCTTTGTCCCTTTTTTGAGGTTAAGTCATGCAGCACACAACCCAGTGAAGACCCTGCAAAGGACCACTGGTGACCTAGGGCAGGAGCTGACTGTTTATTCTCATTCCTTTTCAGTGATCATGAATAAAATGCAGTCCTGCCTACCACTTACAGTTTCTCATTCTTACACCAAGTATCTTTAGTGTCACATATAGCAAAGCTCTGAGAACTTAAGCACAACTGTGAATCCAGTCATGCAGAGAGCATGGAATGCTTGATAACTACCTGGATTGCTGACATTTGTAATTTTACATTTTAGAAATACAAACTTAAGTAAGAAAATAACTTCGCATGAGATTGCTAGTACTAGAAAAGAAGATAAACATATGATCCTGAAGTCTCCATTGTAACATTAGAGAGTTTTTCATAGAAAATCGTGTTAACTAAAAAAACGTGTTAACAAAAAAAAAGCTGAGTGGTGATTAGGCCAAGACACTTGCCCTAATAGGTCTGTATGCGTGAAAGGTTATATATATATATGTTAGCTAATGTTCTTTCCCGCCTGCTGTTCTCTGGGTAAGTAAATACTGGTTCAGTCCTAGACTCACTTTTTGATTCAAATGACTAGTTCCTTCTGAGTTTAACTTGTATGCTGTTAGTGTTTCACACTTTACTGCAGGGACTGCTCCCAGCAGGCTGTGTACCAGGTCCTGTTCTTCCCCAACACTTCACCTTCAAACACAGTAATCTGCTTTTACAGGCTCGTAGTTTCATGCTGTAGAAATGCTTCAGTCCTTATTATTTGATATACTTCAAAAGAAAAGGCAAAAAAATTACAATAACCTAAGAATCAGCAGTGACCCATGTGACAAGGTGGTAGTTAGTATGGCTGTAGACAACCCGCTTTAAAGAGATCTAATGCTGAGCAGTGGAGCTTTATATTACTCTGTTTGATCTGAGCTAGGGATGTAGGCATGGCTTTAGTATTAGGGATTCAACTCTTTAAGCCACAAATACTAGTTTTTAATTAAAGTTTGGAAACAGTATTTCAAAGAATGTCAAAGTAATTTCAACATTTAAAAGTGCAAGAGCAAGAACAGAATTGCAGACCAGTCACCTAGCATCAGCAGTAGCAAACATCCAACTGGTGAACTTGAGATTTCATCAGCAAAGAATGAAAGACAAAAAAAGTCAGGTAACAAAGAGACAGGAGGAGAGGAAATGGCCTCAAGTTGTGCCAGGGGTGGTTTAGATTAGGTGTTAGGATAAATTTCTTCACAGAAAGGGCTGTAAAACATTGGAACAGAGTGCCCAGGGAAGTTGCCATTCCTGGAAGTGTTCACAAAAAGGGTGGATATGGCACTTCAGGACATTGTTTAGTGGTGAATGTGGTGGTGCTGCTGGGTTGATGGTTGGACTTCATCGTCTTAAAGGTCTTTTCCAACCTTTATGATTCTGTGATTCTGTGTCAATGTATGTTCCAGTTTTTGCAGGACAATTTTCACTTCAAACACCGTTGGCATCATTCAGTAAAAACACAACACTGTGTTGTTTTGGTGTCATGTTACCTTGGGATTGAGATTTGAAAAAAAAGCTTTAAAAAATGTTAAAACCAAAATCTCAGTACTTGAAAAATGGTAATTTGAGAAGGATTTTTGAAGCATTCTGAACAGCTACTTTACTGTGAGGATTTTGTGAAGTTGTGGAAATGGTTCCTGTTATATATATGAAATAGGTTTATCAAGTAGAAATAGTGAAGTAAAACCATAGTCCTGTTCACTGCTTCTAGACCCACTGTTTATACTGCAAGAAAGTACAAGGATAACTTAAATGAAGCCATAAAGCTGTTTTAGAACTGAAGAGCAAGCCTGATGAGTTCTCAAAGAACTTAGGAGTGTGCAGGTTCTCAAAGAGAAGTTGAGAAGAGACATAATGACCCTAGTTATGGCCTTGAACATAAAGGAAGTCTTGTGGCTACATCTTTTTAACCTGACAGGGAAAACATACCAGATCCATTACCTTAAAAATATGGCACAACTTCCCAGGAGTGAAGGTAAGTAAACTTTGACATTGCGAACTGGCTACTGCTTGATGTTGTTAAAATCAATAGTTCTAAAAGACATGCTTTAATCCAGTTTCTTGTGCAAAGTCTACAATACCTCTCTAAAGGGTGTCAGGGTGTCAGGCTGTAGCAGTTCCCTCTGACTACAGAGTCCAGGAAGGGCAATGTGGAACAGCTCTAAGTAAAAGTAATGTGAAGAAAATTAGGAATATTTAGGATGAATATCAGTGATGTTCCTGTCAGTGAGATAAATGGAAGCCTGCTTTCTGAGATATTTAAACATTACCCGATCAAAAAAACCAAACACCACAACTATTAATTATCTGAACTGGAAGTCTAGAATGTATTAAGTCTAGGCATTTTATTATCACTTTATAAATATTCTTATTTTCTTACCTCCAATTTTTACATGTAAGGAGAGACCAGCTCATGAAAATGGATCTCTGAAAGAGCTCAGTGGTGTCATTATGTAGGCAAGTGGAAGTTTAACACGCACATTTAACTTTCAGTGAAGGAGATAGAAAATGAAGGAGTGGAGGAGGTGGTGCCCAGCCATACTGTGGTTCCCTAAGGAACCCTTAGGGACAGCCAGGAGGAACCCTTGGTAGGGAAGGAGGCCTCAGGAGGGTGAGGGACATCCCATCTTGAATGTATTATGATTATTTTATTTGTACACTAGATCCAAAATTGGTATGTTTGAAGATACCAACCGTTATCTTCCTATTTAATGGACAGGAGATACAGAAAAGAGAGACTTAGGATGTCACATTGCCTTGGCATTCGGCATTGAAGCTGGCACTGGTAAGACAGGTTCACCAACCCCTTCAACCATCACTGCCTGTTGGCATAACTTGTGAGGATGCAACTTCAAGGAGCTGAATCAGCTCTCACTTTGTACCTCTTTTCTGGGCTACCAGGAAAGCTCCTCATGATGTTTCATCTTACCTACTTGGAAAGCTGCTTGTTACATACCCTGGTTTTGTTCTCAAGCCAGTTTATAGGGGCATATGATTGTGAAGAGGATGTATATAATTTTGGGAGAGGACAGCTAATGAAGGACAGAAAAATATAAAAATAATTCTTGTGACCAGTGACCTTGCGTTGAACTCAAAGCTTATTGTAAGCAGCAGGTGGTTATTTTGAAGTAAAGATACAAACAAAAATATCTGAACAATCATTTCCTAGGAC